GGCGCCCCTTTCAAGATACTTTTTTATCTTTGATTTTCTGAAGTTTAAATATGATCTGTCCAGGGTATAGTATTTTTTTTGGCATTTATCCTGCTTGGTGTTCTCTGAACGTCCTGGATCTGTGGCTTGATGTCTGACAATTTGGGAAAATCCTGTCATTATCGCTTCGAATATTGCCTCTGTTCCTTTCTTTTTCTTCTCCTTCTGGTCTTCTCATTACATGTGTTACACTTTTTGTAATTGTCCCATCATTCTTGGATATTCTGTTCTGCTTTTTTCAGTCTTTTTTTCTCATTGCTTTTCAGTTTGGAAAGTTTCTAATTGTCATATTCTCAAGTTCAGAGATTCTTTCCTCTGCCATGCCCAGTGTACTAATGAGCCCTTCAAAGGCATTCTTCATTTCTGTTTCAAGTTTTTGATCTCTAGCATTTTTTTCAAATATACATGCAAAAAATTTTTAACCTGAAAAATCTAAATAATAATATTAAATTATATATTCATGTGCCCAACACCAAGCTTAAGAAGAAGAACCTTATCAGTACCTTTGAAATCCCCTATGTTCCCCTCCCTTGTCACTTTCTCCTTGAAAGGTATCTCTAAAGGAATATGAAATCTTGGCCAGGAAACTGAAGGACTTGTGACTGCAGGTAGTGTTTTCATTATTTTTTCCTGCTCTAGGTAGAACTTCAGGAAAGGGACAGTCTGGGAGATAAATGGCTGAAATTCTGTTGAATTTGTGTTTCTGGACCATGGCTCCTGATACTAGAAAGCAGGGCCTTTGCTAGAATTGAAGTATTTCTTAAGAGGCCTGGGAAGAATGGGATGACCCTTAGGTAACTGACTCTATGAAGAGCACCTACAACCAAAATCTAGCATTTCTTTTTGATTCTTAGAATTTCCATCTCTCTGCTCACATTATCCATCTGTTCTTGCATGTTGTCAATTTTTTCCATTAAAGCCTTTAGCATATTAATCATAGTTGTTTTTTAAAAATATTATTTATTTATTTGAGAGAGAGAGAGCATGAGCAGTGGGGAGGAGTAGAGGGAGAGGGAGAAACAGACTCCCCACTGAGCAGGGAGCCTGATGTGGGGCTTGATGTGGGGCTCCCAGGACACCAAGATCATGACCTGAGCTGGAGGCAGACACTTAACTGACTGAGCCACCCAGGTGCCCCATATAGTTGTTTTTTTTTAATTCCTGGTCTGATAATTTCAACATCTGTGCTGTATCTGACTCTGGTTCTGGTATTTGCTCAGTCTCTTAAAACTGTGTTTTTTGTCTGTTAGTATGCCTTGTAATTTTTAAAAATTTTTTAAATTTAAATTCAATTTAATTAACATATAGTGTATTATTAGTTTCAGAGGTAGAATTTAGTGATTCATCAGTTGCATACAACATCCAGTGCTCTTTCCATCAAGTGCCTTCCTTAATGCCCATCCCCCAGTTACCCCATCCCCCCCACCGACCTCCCCTCCCGCAACCCTCAGTTTGTTTCCTATAGTTAAGAGTCTCTTAGGGTGGGGAGCCTGGGTGGCTCAGTCAGTTAAGTGTCTGCCTTCAGCTCAGGTTATGATCTCAGGGTCCTGGGATCAAGCTCTGAGTCGGGCTCCCTGCTCATCAGGAAGCCTGCTTCTCCCTCTCCTGCTCCCCCTGCTTGTGTTCCCTCTCTCACTGTCTCTCTCTCTCAAATAAATAAACAAAAAATCTTGAAATATCATTAAAAAAAAAAGAGTGTCAAAAAAAAAAACAAAAACTTTTGCACAGCAAAGGAAACAATCAACAAAACTCAAAGGCAGCCTACGGAATACCTTGTAATTTTTTGTTGGAAGGTAAGCATGATGTACTGGGTGAAAGGAACGGCAATAAAGAGACTTTAGTAATGTAGTGGTTAGGTGTGTAGGGGGAGGAAGCGTTCTGTAGTCCTGTGGTTAAGCCTCAGTCTTTCAGTAAGCCTGTACCCCTGGACTGTGAACTTCACCAGTGCTTCTTAATTTCTTTTTTGTTTTGTTTTGTTTTGTTTTTTGGTGGGGGTTGTTTTTCCCTGTTAGTTGGGACAAGATGGCTAGCAGGGACAGAGCTGGGCTATTTCTCTTCCCGAACGTGGAAGGCTAAAGCCAGCTATAGTTGGGTACTTCCCTACCCCCAGGTCAATTAGGCTCCAATAAGACCCCAGCAGATTAGGATCCAGTAAAATAGTTTCTCCTGAGAGCAGGCCTTGCTGAGAACAACAGAATGCTCTGGAGTGTTTCAAGATGATTCCTTTCCCTCTCCTTCTGCTGAAAGCACGAGGAAGTTTTTCTATAGCATTCACTGTGAGGACCTGACAGAGCTCCTGTGTAAAAGAGAGATGTGGGGATTACCCCCAAACTGAGTCCCCCCCTGGAATGTTTAACTCTCAGAGTCGGCCACATTGAGAGTTGGCTTCCAGCAATTCATCAGTTATGTTTAGGTTTTCCTACCTGGCACTGGTTCCTAGGGAGGCTTCTGCTCAGGAAATTGTAACCCACCCCTCTCTCTGCAATTTGAGGGGGCAGTAATTTGTCCTGTGACCTCACTGCTTTGATGGCTCTAAGAAGAGTTGTTGATTTTCCAGTTTGTTCAGGATTTTCCTTTTTGTTAGGACAGAATGTCAACTTCTGAGCTCCTCATGTGCCATGCCAGAAACAAAAAGTCTGGTTTGTTTTGTTTTTAAATCAAATTTAGAGACAAAATTGATTAATATTTCCTCAACTTATTTTTTCTGTTCCTGCACTCTCATCACTCCTTCTGGGACTTCAGTTATACCTAATACTCTCTCATGAGTCATTGAGGCTCTGTTAATTTTAAGTTTTTTATTTAGGTAATCTCTACACCCACCCCACATGGGGCTTGAACTCACAACCCACAAATCAAGAGTCACGTGCTCCTCCACCTGAGCCAGCCAGGTGCCCCAGGCTCTGTTAATTTTTTTTTTAAAGATTTTATTTAATTTTTTGACAGAGACACAGCAAGAGAGGGAACACAAGCAGGGGGAGTGGGAGAGGGAGAGGCAGGCTTCCCACGGAGCAGGGAGCCCGATGCAGGGCTCAATCCCAGGACCCTGGGATCATGATCTGAGCCAAAGGCAGACGCTTGACGATTGAGCTACCCAGGTGCCCCAGCTCTGTTAATTTTTTTTAAAAAATCTTTTTTCCTCTTTGTGCTTCAGTTTGAGTTCTTGCATTGACCTGTCTTCAGGTTAAAGGAGTCTTTCTTCTGTTCTGGCCAATCTTCTGTTAATCCCAGCTAACAGATTTTTTTATTTCAAGTATTATCTTTTCATTTCCAGGATTTCCATCTGATGCTTTTCTACAGTTTTCACAGATCTCCTGAAATTCCCCATCTCATCACCCACCAATATCAATTCCACTACATTCCTTAACATATTTATCACAGATATTTTATTTTTTAAGGTTTTTTTTTTTTGGAATTCCAGTTAGTTAGCTTACAGTGTAATATTAGTTTCAGGGACGTACAATATAGTGATTCAGCACTTCCATATGTCACCTGGTGCTCATCATGACAAGTGCCCTCCTTAATTCCCATCACCTATTTCACCCATCCCCCCACCTGCCTCCCTCCCTTCTGGTAACCATCAGTTTGTTCTCTATGGTTAAGAGGTTAAGAGTCTGTCTCTTAGTATGCCTCCCTCTCTCTCTTTTCCTTTTGCTCATTTGTTTTATTGCTTAAATTCCACATATGAGTGAAATCATATGGTATTTGGCTTTCTCTGACTTATTTCACTTAGAATAATACTCTAGCTCCATCCATGTCATTGCAAATGGCAAGATTTCATTCTTTTTTATGGCTGGATAATATTTCATTATATATATATTATATATCCATTCATCAATCAATAGACACTTGGGATGTTTCCATAATTTGGCTATTTAGATAGTGCTGCTATAAACATCAGGGTGCATATATCCCTTTGAATTAGTATTTTGTATCCTTTGGGTAAATACTTAGTGCAATTGCTGGATCATAGGGTAGTTCTATTTTTAACTTTTTGAGGAGCCTCCATACTGTTTTCCATAGTGGCTGTACCAGTTTGCATTCCCACCAATAGTGCACCAGGGTTCACCTTTCTCTGCATCTTCACCAATACCTGTTGTTTCTTGTGTTGTTGATTTTAGCCATTTTGGCAGGTGTAAGGTGATATCTCATTGTAGTTTTGATTTGCATTTCCTTGATGATAAATATCACGGATATTTTAAATTGTGTCTGGGTTGGCTATGGATCTGTTTCTACTGACTTATTTTTCTCTTGATTGTGGGTCATGTTTTCCTGTTTCTTTATATATCTAGTAATTTCCGTACTGGACAGTATAGATAATAAAGTAAAGAGAATCTGGATTCTGTTATCTTCCTCTGAAGAATGTTGATTTTTGGTCTGGAGTATTGGTTGGACTCAGCTTTGTGACTTTAGGTTGGGTAGTTCACGGACCATACAAGGATTAGAGGGGGGTATTTATGTAGATCTCACTCCCCTACTGTGGCTCCCTGCTTTCTAGGATTTCCTTTCAATTTCCTCCTCCTTTGGCAGTCTGCACTCCAACCTGTGATTCTTCAGCCCAGTAAGACTAAAGCTTCCTGCTTGAGCTATTTGCCAGGCCGAGGGGGCTAGGGTGTGCCCTCAGGGGAAAAGCGATAAGTGTATATATATATATATATATATATACATATATACTTATATATGTATGTATGTTTTTTTTTTTTTTTTACCAAGGGCAGTTCCATTTTTTAAAAGGTCAAAGAGCCTCCAGTTTCTGGCTGCTCTTTATTATGTTCCATTGCCTTCAAATCATTGTTTTGTGCATTTAACCTGGTGTCAGTCCAATACAAGCCACTCTCTGTCTCAGTCTTTTAGCTTCTCCCAATCTCTCCTTCCCTCTTTCCTCTTCGCCTCCCCTCCCCAGGTTCCCACACTCCCTTCCTCCTTCCCTCTCTCATTCCTTCTACCTCTGTCTCTCCTTGCAGGGAGAACCTGGCCCCAAAGGAGACCCTGGGGAGAAGAGCCACTGGGTAAGCTCCAGCTGAGCACAGACCTCCCGCTGCCCCTTCCTGCCCTGGGCACTCAGGAGATCATTTGGAGCGGGGGCACCTCCTCCAAATCCCCACTACAACCTGGTCTCCTAGGAAGGAGCCTTGACAGATCTCCGCTCTGGCCCCCTCCCCGTCCTGTCCCCCCCCCCAACCAGGCAGGGCCAGCCTTATCAGTGGACCCCACACTCTCTGTCTCTGTCTTCATCCCTGTCTCTGCCTTCCCTCTGTGGCCTTTCCAAGCCAGGGTGACCCTGCCCTTTCCTCCTAGGTGGTTCGGGCTAACCTCTATCCTCTACCTCCATAGCCCCTTCCCAGAAAGGGCTTTCGCTTCTGCTCTGTCTGCAGAAGAAAGGGAAGCATGACATCAATATCCACACAAAACAGTGGGACAGGCAGCCTTGAGAAAGCTGTGGAGTGTAGGGAGGGAGGCGTAGAAACAGTGAGGTACACTGGAGCCCTGTGGTAAAAGGGATAAGGGACCTAGATACCACCATACACATAGGAGATCCATGGATCACGGGAAGGGAGGCCTAAAAACCATTATGTATACGTCATACATGGTAAATGAGGTCCGTAGACCTAGACTCCACTATTCTCAAAAGAGCTGTAAGTAACACGAGGTCCCAGACACCATCACATCCATAGGAAAGCCGTGGGGAGTGGGAGGAGAGGCCTAGGAACCATCATATGCATGGAAGAACCATGGAAAATGAGATGAGAGAAACCACTATACACATAGGAAGCTCATGAAGATTGAGAAGGAAGGCCTAGAAACTGTCACATACACAGGAGACATAGCGTATATGAGAAAGGGGACAGAGAAACCACATGTGGGGTCCTAGAAACCTTTACAGTCATTGGAGATAGTTGCAGTGAATGAGTTCCCAGGCCTAGAAATCTGCCCACTCGAGAGATGCATGGGGGGGAGGACCAAAAGTCCCACAATATAGGGACTTGGAAACCATCATGACATACACATTTGGAAAATGGGCGGGGTGGGGGCAGACACCCCTACAGGAGAGCAAACTGGGAAGCTATTCAGAAGGCTGGTACCAGGCCTCCTTTTCTCCCAGTCCCTCCCTAGTGCAGTCTGGCTGGGGTGCCCTACTTCCCAGCGGGCACTAGTCAATGAGGACATGGGATGCACCCAGCGCCTGCCTTGCCCTCTCTGCTCCTGATTGTGGGGTCAGTGATGGATACAGCCGTGGGAGCCCCTCACCCTGCACGAGCCCTTCCCCGTGTCTTCCCATGACTTTGGGGGCCCTGTTACCTCTCCGGCAAGCCTCTCCCAGGCCCTCACACTCACTCTACTCCCCACAACCCCCTTCACTCCCTAGTGGTTCCAGAGCCTCTTAAGCACATTGCCAATATGGGCACGAGCTGGGGGTCAGGTAGACTGGTGTGAGCCCAGCCCTCTGCTTCCCCTAGGCCCCTTCATTGGCCACTCCTTCTCTGGGAACATGTTTCCTACTCAGCCCAGGAGAGGTGGGGGAGGTGAAATGAGGCTGAATTAGACTACGCAGCTCCATCCTTGCATGGGGATTCCAAGAGAACAGATGCCTGAACAGTCCCAATCCAGGTCTCGAACTCAGGACCACCTGTGGGAGGGGCCGCCTAAGAGGTAGCAGGGCCCTTGCCCATCTTCCTGCCTCCCCTTCGCCCACTGTACTTCTGCCCCTGCTTGCCACCTGCCTGAGGGGGGCCTGCTGGGCTGGGGTCAGCATGAGGCTTTGGGGACTGGGGGACCAGCTCTGTTGGGGATAGGTGGGCATGAGGTCCAGTGTGGGGAAGGGCCCTGAGGGGGCCACTCTCCACCTACCAACCCCCAGGTAGACCTGAACCACTGGCCCGACTGTGGCTCAGCAGTGCCACCCAGTGGTCATGAGCATGAACTGCAGACACTGCCCCCAGAGTGACTGAGCTGAACCAGCCCATCTAGACCAAAGCTCGTACCCCTCATTCAGACAGGAAAAACTGAGGCCCAACTCTGCAGAGCAAATTGTTGGCAGAGATGGAACTGAATCCCAGGATTTTCAGCTGCCAGGGCCGAGGAAACCAGCCCTTCCTTGGTGGGTGCCAGGCCCCAGGCTCGGCACTGTGGACATATAGATGTGATTTGGACACAGTCCCCACCCTCAAGGTGCTCACAGTGGGAGGGCAGAACAGACCAGGAACCAGCGGCAACAGGACAGAGATGGTTCAGCTGTGATGGGGGAGGATTTAGCATCCTCCTGGAAGAGGAGATGGGGGCTGAGGCCTGAAGGGTGCCTTAACCAAACAAAGGTGTTCAAGCAGAGGAGAGAGAACATCATGTTCAAAGTCCTTGGGGCTGGAGTGAGGCTGGGGTATTCAAGGAGCTGCAAATACTTGGCATGGTACAGTGTGACAGTCAAGGGGTGAGACGGAGGTCAAACAGGCTTTCAGGACTTAGGAGGCCATATTGAGGAATTTGAACTTTGTCCTGTGGACAGTGGGGAGTCATTGAAGTATTTAACAGCAGGGAAGGGACGTGGTCAGGTTTTTGTTTGCCAACAGTTCCTCTGACTGCCGTGTGGAGAATAGATGGGAGAAGGGGGCAATGCGGGAGAAGCAGAGAGACGCCAGGCAGGAGTCTGTTGTGGTCCTCCTGGCAAGAGACGGTGGGGGCTGGAACTGGCAGGGGGTACGGTGAGGACAGATGGATGTCCATAGACTAAGCGATACTTGGTGCTGGTTTAACTGTGAGGGGGAGCGAGCAGTTAAGGCTAACTTTATAGTAGAGAGCCCGGAGAAGCAGCCCCACTGGGTTCTGTCCAGGGAAACTGAGAGCTGTCTGTGTTAAAGCTGAGTGGGGGTGTCCAACAGGCCCTGGATACTCAATCCAGGCCGGGAGGGAACTGGGGCGTTATCAGTGCGAACAACAGGCTACCCATCTTGGAAGGGATCCAAATAGCAGGACTTAGTTGGACATGTTTTCCTCTAATTTTCTTTTCTTTTTTTTTTTTTTAAGATTTTATTTATTTATTTGAGAGAACACTAGCAGCGGAGACGGGTAGAGGGAGAAGCAGGCTCCCCACTGAGCAGAGAGCCTAATGCAGGGCCCGCTCCCAGGGCCCTGGGGTCATGACCTGAGCCCAAGGCAGGCGCTTAACTGACGGAGCCACCCAGGCGCCCCTTAGCTATTTTTTTTTAAATCTAAGATCTAATCAAGATTCATGCATTGAACTTGGTGGTTACGTCTCCAGTGCCTTGTTATCTAGAACGGTCCCTGTCCTTTTGTTTTTTCTCTTGACTTTGTCTTTTTGTGAATATCCCGCCATCTAGAGTTGTCTGACTGTTTCTTGGTGATGAGATGCAGTTAAATGCTCTTGGCAGGAGCACGAGGGGACACCCTCTTATTACATCTTACCAGGACATTCAGGATGTCAGCTTGTCCCACCGTCCATGCCCGGAGTGGCTTGACGTAATTTTTGAAGGTCATCCATTTTTAGAGCCTGCTCCTGTAATACTTGAAGAGGGATTACTTTGGTGTGTGGCCCGTGGTGACCCTATGACCCTTCGGCTGCAATGGCCAGTTAGTGGCCCGAGGGTAGCCCCAAACCGGTGATGTGGCCAGGACAGCTGGATTATAATGGACAGTCCCAGCAATGCCACAGCAGGCTCGTGGACACGTTGGGCGGACTCTCCGTTGTTAGATGTTTTGGTGAACCCTAAAGGGTCAGATTTCTATTGTAGCAATAGGCATATTCTACCCCATCCCTTTCCTTAGTCTGTACTAAGTGAAGGACACTGAGAGAGACTCCCAGATATGTCAGGGCTGGAATCGTTCTATTCGCTGTCCTGGTGCTCTGTTGGAGTTAAGATATCAACATTCCGGAACTAGCAGCTTGAGTCTGGACTAGGAGAGAGGAAGGAGTGAAGGAGTGTGGACGTTCAGCCCGACCCTGGACCCCGTGCTGGGGAAGGAAAGGACAGACAAATTGGAAGTGAAGGTGAAGGCTAGCAGGAGCCCGGGGTGCCAGCTGACATTGTTGCTGGGGCCGGGGGGGGGGGCTTTGGGGGCCCACTGCCACATCCCTGGGCCTGGGGGCCGCAGACCCAGACATACTGCTTAGAAGGGAGGGTGGGGTTGGGGGCCTGATTCCAGGACGTGCAGAATATGGACTTGGAATAGTCCGAGCCCAGGGAGGATGAGCCCAAAGTGAGAAGGGCTGGAGAGTGGACACCTGGGCCTGAGCCTCAGCTTTTCCAGCATTTTAAAGCACAACTTCCCAAAAGTGATGCCACTCAAACATTTTCTAATTTTACTTGTACATATTCATTTTGATGTGAATGGAAAGGATATCCGTCAGTAGCCCGTTCCCACTGATGGAATTCATTAGAGTGAGATTAATGTAGTATTAAGGCAAAAAGTGACTCAGTTTAAAGACTATTAAGTAAATCAGAGTGCATGTGGCCCAGGGATGGGGCAGGAATCATGCAGGTGTCAGGCAACAGAGATTCAGGGGCGCACCGTGACAGTCTCCAGGGCAGGCTCTGGGACGGCAGCGCAGGCCCTGAGGATCGGCAACCCCCTGCCACCCGTGCAGGGGTGTGGGCAGAGAGCAGCCAGCTGGAACCCATCAGGACTTAACTGAGGGGGCTGCTTCCACCTGTCTTGCCCCGCCCCCCTGCCCCCGTCCTCTCCCGGTCTTATCCTGGCTGTCCGCGGGGCCCTGGGCTGTGGCAGGTGGTGCGGGGCTGAGGTGCATGTCCAGGGTGGGGCATGGGCCACCAACAAGCTTTGCAGGGCCCCCTCCCTTGCCCCCTTCACGGCTGCATCTGTCTCTTTCCTCCGCAGGGGGAGGGGTTGCACCAACTACGCGAGGCTTTGAAGATTTTAGCTGAGAGGGTTTTAATCTTGGAAACAATGATTGGGCTCTATGGTGAGTAGAGACAGACAGACGGACAGACAGCCCAGCCCCCACCCGCTAGCCTTCCCCAGGCCCTCCGGGGGTGGAGCTGCCTGGACCCAGCCATGAGGCTGGAGAAGGTGCCTGCCCTAGGCAGGTGAGGACCTGAGAGAGCAAGACCACCCATCCCTCGATGGCTGGTCCCTCCTCCACAGGTGTAAAGGGGGCCCTAGAGACCTGGGCCCCCCACCTCTGTGGTCAGACCTGGGCCTCCGGGCATTGTGGGTAATGTGGCTTCCAGGCCTGCAGGGGAAGCAGAGGTGACAGATTTTGAGTTTGGAAGAAATTAGGGGCAATGGAGCCAAACTCCTGACCAACGGAGCCAGACTGCAACAGAGCAGGGGATCGTGGGTAATAAAGTAAGGGGGGATTGTGGTAACAGAGCCAGACTGCAGCAGAGCAGGGGGTCATGGGTAATAAAGTTAGGCTTCATTCCGCTCTCCAGCCAGTCTCCAAGCCCACGGGACATTAGGTCATGGAGCTAGACTCCAGAAGTACAGGGACTGTGGGTGACGAAGCCAGGCTCAGGCCCCAGGGTACTCCAGGTACTGTAGCCCCCACTAGTTCTGACCTCCCCTCCCCCAGAAGTCCCCAGAGGCTCCCACAGGGCAGGCCTTCCTGGCCCCAAGTATCTCCCTTACAGCTGCAGGTCCCCCTCTGGTCCTCCTAACCCATCCTGCAGGTCCCTTTAGGGAGAGAGCCAGACCCCCACCCCAGGCACTTACCCACCAATGTCGCCACCCATCTGCTCACTTGAGGAGCCAGGCAGGCCCCATCCCCACTTAGAAGGGGAGACCGAGGTCTCGATAGAGACTCACACCCGGGCTCCTGCCTCGAAGCTGGCCGGTGCCCGGCCCCTACACCCTGCCCTCGGCTCCCCGGCCCAGCCCTCGGAGGCCGGACTCGCACCGTCTGCTCTTCTTGATCTCCCATCAGGCTCCTAGCTTACAGAGCTTCCTGCAGCAGCAGGCTCAGCTGGAGCTCCTGGCCAGACGAGTCACCCTGCTGGAAGCCATCATCTGGCCAGGTAACGGCAGGGCGGGCAGGTAGGGGCGGCCCCTTCCAGGAAGGGCCCAGGGACATAGAAGTCACCTCCCACTGGTGGCCCTAGGCCAGCAGACACTCCTTCTCTAGTCCTTCCAGCCAGCCAGCAGACAGACAGACGGTGCCTAACACCTTGTGTCTGACACATGGTGTCAGACAGACCTAGTCCTGTTCTCGGGGAGTGTAGGGTGCAGGGGCACGGGGGTCACCCTGGAACTGTTAAACCCGGAGTGAGGAACACCACGGTGGAGTGAGCGCTATGAGAGCACAGAAGTGCCCCGGCCCCAGGCTGGGGTGTGTTGGGGAACCCCCGAGAGGGCTTCCTGGAGGAGGTATCCTCTAAATGAACCTGAAAGGCAAGGACGAGCATGAGTAAACAAGCAGAGGAACAGCACGAGCCAAAGCCAAGAGGCTAGACAGTTCTGTGAGGTTGCTAGGGAGTGACAGCTGAGGCTAGAGAATCTGGCAGGCCCCAGTTTGAGAAGGCTCTTGAAGGGAGGTAAAAGGCACGGAAGGAGGTTAGACAGCAAGTGGGCAGCACCCACTGCTCCCAGTGCCTGGCTTTTCAGGGTGGGGCTAAGGAGGGTTCTCCCCATTAAACCGGAGCCTGTGGGTGGCCGTGGAGAGAGGCAGGGATTGGCCGCCCTCAGGGCTGAGCTCCAGTCCTCACCTACCCACGGAGAGTCCTGTGTGGACAAAGGCCTGGAGGCTGGAAGAGGCCCCCACGGCCGCCCTCCTCCCACCTCCAGCTGCCCCATCTTACAGCCCAACCCTAGTACATCAGCGCACAAAGGCCTTGGACATCATGTCCAACTTCGCATCTATTTTACAGACGAGGAAACTGAGTCCCCGAGCAGGAGGGAGGGCCAGGAGGACAGCCAAGCCTCCTTCATTCAGCAAAACTGTAGGGCACACCTACTGAGTGCCAGTTCAGGGTGGCCACTCTGGACCCATCAAGTGAGGGGGGATCCTCAGGGTCTACAGAGATGAGGGCCATGGGGGACAGGAGCACCAAAGGATGTGAGTGAGCGGCAGTCCCCTCCAGCTGCGGCGTGGAGAAGCCTTCCCGGCAGAGGGGACACTTGCATTGCTCTGGGTCACGGAAGATCCCTGTGAGCATGTGAGCACGAGATAGAAAGGGCAGCCCTGACAGAGAGTCCTATGTGGACAAAGGCCTGGAGGCTGGAAGGGGCGTGTGGTCTGCTTCCCAAGCTCTTCCCACCTTGCCACGGGGCTTCTCTAACTTTTAGAAACATCAGTGGCCACCTTCCAGACCTCCTCCCCCTCTCACAGTTCAGGGCCCAAGGACCAAATCCCAGGCTTTTTCAAGTGTCCCCCGACTCCTCTCGGGAGGACAGGGAGAGGACCCAGAAGGGACACACTGTGGCCTTGGACCTGTAGCCCATCTCCACTTTAGTCACCTCTGTATCCAGCAGCCCAGGGATCCCTCTGGTCACCTGAGAAGATGCTGGTCACCTGAGAAGGGCCACGCCCACTTGCTGTGGCCACCAGCCTGGGAGAGTCACCCCACAAGCCAGCTCAAGTTGTGGGTCGGGGAGGGGAGGGGAGGGGGGAGGGGAGCAGAGGAGGAACTTTCCCCATTGTCCGTCGTACACAGCAGGTGCTAACTAAAGACCCAGATTGGGCTCTCATGTTTAGGTTATAATCAGTAATGAGGAGATGGTAACAGCCATCACACATCCGGCCCACCGGGGTGGGGGATTTACATCCAGCCCTTGTAACAAGCTTGCTAGGTGGGTGACACCATGCCCATTTCACCGATGAAGAAAGAGAAGTGCAAAGAGCTCACGTGATTTCCCCAAGAGTCATAACAACAGTAGTGGTGAGGCCAGGGATCCACCATAGGTCTGTCCTCAAAAGCACTAGCTCTTTCTGCTCCATCAGCAAAAGTTCACGGACACCTCTGCTCTGCCAGGCCCTGAGTGGGGCCCAGGGGAAACCAAGGGCCCTGAATCTGATCGTGTCAGAATAGCATCTCATGACCAACTCACAGTGGCCAGGCCTGCAGGAGAGCTGGGTCAAAAACACACCTAGTGACCATAATAATCCAGCATGTGAAAACCACTTTCCACTCCTGGTCACCTTAAAGCCTTACCACAGGGGTATGACACGGTATTGTCCCCATGTTGCAGAGGCGGCTCAGAGATTCTGTGACTTGCCCAAGAGCATATCATTGGTACATGGTGGGCCCAGGACTTGGCCCGAGCTGATGTTGGAGCCTGAGCTCCTTGATATAGGGCATGAGATCTCCCTTGACTGTGACCACACACACCTGTCTGTCGCAGGGGCCCCAAATTTCAGCCCAGAGGTGTATGGGAGGCTGGGGCACACAGGGTCAGAACGCTAGACAGCTAGGATCATGAGGGTAGAGCCCACTCCCCTGGCAGTGCCCCAGTGGGAAGCTGGTGCTCACCAGAGTCCAAGTGTCTGTCCTTTTGAACAGGACTTTGGAGGCTCAGCCAAGTCCCCCATCCTGGGGCTCTGCTTCTTGAGTGATCCTCTCCCCCCTGGAAAAATAGCCCATCCTGACCTACCTGACTTACTTATTTAACTTAGAGGGGGGCCAAAGTGTTAGTGGCAGAAGACTTCTTGAAGGAGGTAGGCCTTGCTTGGGTGTTGAAGGATGAGTGAGTTTTCTAGGTGGCGAGAATGCCAGTTACTCAGTTTCACTCTTGTGGGACAGCTCATTTCCAGGCTGGGGCCAAATTAGAACTAATTTCAATAATTACTGGAGTTGGCCAGGACCTCAGAGTACATCTGGAACTATCCCTCCTGGTTTTAGAGATGAGACAGCTGAGGCCCTGGCAGAGACTAGACTTGCCCAAAGCTGTACGGTAGGTCAGTGGCAGAGCCTGGCCTTTCTAAACTCTTCCTCACCACATGTGGCCTAACCCGAGGAGAGAGGGATGAGTGACTCTACTCCCCGACCTTAGCTTGCCCAGCTATGAAACAGGGATGATTCAGGGCACGCCTCCACCCCCAAATGTGGGAAAGAACTATACTTTTATGGAGCATTCATTCCATGCTAAGCATTTCAGAAACATGGCACGTTCATTGACCCTTACTTGACGGAGAAAATGCAGTAGATGCCCTGAGTGCTCTCACTGGGTGGGGAGCTGATAACTCTGGGGGGCAGAGGGGAGGCACTAACCAGCTTGCAAACACCCTTCTTTCTCACAGCTCTGCCTCCCAGATGCCAGGGCAGAGTGCACCTGGCAGAGTACCGAGCGCCCCAGCCCCCTGAGGGCTGAAGGGAGATGGGCACCTCACACAGACCTCACTAACCCTGCCTCTCTCCTTCCCTCCGGCAGAACCAGAGGGGTCGGGGGCAGGCCCTGCCGGCACAGGCACCCCCAGCCTCCTGCGGGGCAAGAGGGGAGGACACGCGGCCAACTACCGGATCGTGGCCCCCAGGAGCCGCAGCGAGAGAGGCTGAGGGCAGGGGTGGCCCTAGGGGCAGACCAGGCCAGGCTTCCCTTCCCAGCCTGGACTTGGCCAGCTGCCTCCAGGGACCGCCCATCCATATTTATTAATGTCCTCAGGGTCCCTTCTGCCACCTAGGCCTTTGGGATGGGCACGTCTTGGTCCTGACTCCCCGTGCAAGCCTAATATGAAGCTGAGAAGGGACAGTGGACTGAGAGGGAGGGGCAGCCCAGGCAAGAGGTGAGGCCTCGCTCAGGGCCCTGGGCCTCCCATCTCCCTCTGTGAAGTAGGATGATGCAGGCCTGCAGGGGATGGGGGGCAGGTTCGAGGCCTGCCACCCCCTCCTCCCCAGCCAAACCTTGGGGAGCCCATCGTACCCCTCCTCTCCTTGATTTCTGGTGCTGGGTCCCCACCCTGACCTCAACAGGCAGGACACTGGGGATTCCTTGCATGGTCCTGCCCCCCGAGCCCCCAGCTCCTCCCATGTCCCAGGTGGGGGTGGGGGCATGGAGAGGGAAGGGCCCCCTGGAGGTAGAGGTCTCCAGCCAATAAAGGCCCCCAGTCTGATGTCCTGACGTCCCACTGGCCTGGTCTCAGTGTGTGCTTAGATGGGGTGTGGCTGGGCTGGGCCCTCTCCTCGGTGGCCTTCCCTGCCCACACAAATGCGGGGCTGAGGGCGTGGGGGGAGGTGTGTCTCCACACATCAAGGAGCTGTTCTCCTGTAATGGGTCATTCCTTCAGTGCTCATTCATTCATCCATCCCCCCCCCCCCCCCCCCCCCCCCCCCCCCCCCCCCCCCCCC